GCTCTTAAATACTAAGTATAGAAGTATAGATATAGATATATACTCCCTCCGTTCCTATTTAATACTTCCTCCGTCCCCAAAAGAACGACCCATTTGAGTTGATTACGCGGGTATTAAGAAAGTTAAATAAAAAGAAGGAAAAGTATATTGAAAAGTTAAGTTTACATGGGATTTGTAAAAAAATAGAGAGAGAAAGTAATAAAATAACATGGAATATCAAATTTTTATATGGGGAAGCTAATTTTATATAAATATTGTTGCAAATACGTGGGTGTTTTAATACAAATAGGTCATTCTTTTTGGGACTAAAATTAGGCCAAATAGGTCGTTCTTTCAGAGACGGAGGTAGTAGTCACTTATTTCATTTTTGATGTCCCAAAATATTACTCTGTAGTCTCATTTGTTCTTTTTCAAGTACCGTTAATATTAATTTTTTACTATAATTCTCTCCAATTTACAAAAATATTTGTGCAAAATTAACTTTTCCATGTAAATTTTGCTTTCCCACTATAATTACTCTTTCTCTCTCTACTTTTTTGCATACCCAATATAAATTTACTTTTTCAATGCAATTTTACTACTTGTTACTCATGTTTATTAACTCCTGCGTAAATTGCCCAAAAATGACAATAAAATAGAGACGGAGAAAGTATTTTTTTTAAGTACTTAGAAACACAAATAGAGTGTGCAAGTATATTTTGAAGATATCATAAACACTACAGTATTAAATTTTGGGGAAAATATAAAGAATGAATTCGGAAAAAAGAGAAGAGGTAAAAAGAAAGTGAATCTGGAAAAAAGAAAAAAAGCTACTCCGTAAGAAAAATAGGGGAGTAATGATTACAAATATGGAAAAATGGAGAAAATGAGTACATTCTCATTAAATGCATTGCCAAGAAGACAAACCAATCTTCTTTGCTCTGGCGGCGCATCTCTGTGACAGAGATAGAGGGATTCAAATATTTCTTTTTTTTTAATTTAATATTACAAAAACTCCTTTTTCCTTTTTTTATATACACGGGTAGAGAAGATGACACGCATCTCTATACTACATTGTGACATTTTTAGGAATTTCCCGTTTCATGCAACCGCGCAATCCTTTTACGATTAACGCTTAAATTTAATTGCTTATTTGTGTTACTACTCCCTCTTTTGCTTTTTTATGCCAATATTAAAAAAGACTATGAGAGTATGCAAAATGAAAATATTTATTTTGGGAATAAGTAAATATATTGGTAAATTTCTTCAAAAAATATGTATCTAGGTAAATATAAATATATTATTTGATAATTGCTTTAAGGAATATGTAGGTAAATAAAAATAGTACTTCATATATTGAAAGTTGATAGTATTAGGGTAAAGATTAAAGAGTATTGAGGGAGTGAGATAATAAAGGTAAAGAGGTAAAGTTTATTTGAGGGTAATTTAGAAATAAAAGTCTATTCACATATTGAAAGTTGATCATATTAGGGTAAAGACTAAGGAGTATGTAAGATAGTGATGTTGTGTAATTCTCCTTAGAGATTGCATTCTCATTGCCAGATTATATAGGTCCAATATTACAACCTAATTATGAGAGAATACATAAAGCTACACAATAATAATTACAAGAATACAAAGGGATGAAGGAATATTAAGCATATTCACTAACACACCCCCGCAGTCGTAGCGGGAGGAGGCCGAACGCATAGACTGTTTCTGAAATCCAAGAAGAGTTGTCGAGGTAAACTCTTTGTGAAAATGTCCGTGTATTGGTACGAAGAGGGAATGTGAAGCACACGTACCTGACCCGAGGCAACCTTCTCACGAACAAAAAGGATGTCCAATTCGATGTGCTTTGTTCGTTGATGTTGGACGGGATTTCTAGACAAGTACACAGCCGAGATATTATCACAGTAGACAAGGGTAGCTCGTTTAATTGGGCAGTGAAGTTCGAGCAGCAAGTTCCGAATCCAACAAGTTTCCGCAACAACATTAGCGACGGCACGGTACTCGGCACTGGACTTAGACAAGGTAGCTTGCCGCTTTGCTGACCAAGAAACAATGTTATCGCCAAGGTAGACGCAATAGCCTAAAGCCGACCGCCGAGTATCCGGACAGCCTCCCCAATCGGCGTCCGTATACGAGACAAGGCCGCTAGGAGCAGCCCGGTAGAGGTGCAGTCCATGGTCGGAAGTCCCTTTGATGTACCTAATGATGCGTTTGAGTGCATTGAAATGGGGCTCACGAGGGTCATGCATGAACAAACAAATTTGCTGAACGGCATATGCGATATCCGGACGTGTGAAGGTGAGGTATTGCAATGCACCTGCAAGACTACGGTACAGAGAAGAGTCAATGACCGGTTTGCCATCTAGAGCACTCAATTTGGACTTAAAATCAACCGGGGTGGAAACCGGTTTGCAATTCCCCATATTGGCACGAGTAATAATATCCTCCGCATACTTTTGTTGACTGAGAAACATAACACTAGGAGACCTCGTCACGGAAATTCCCAAAAAATAATGAAGCTTACCGAGGTCCGACATATCAAATTCAGATTTAAGGAGCCCAATAATCTCTGACTTTAGAGCCTCCGAAGATGTGGTAAGCACAATGTCATCAACATACAAGAGTAGGTAAGCAACATTCGGGCCATGACGGAAGATGAATAGTGAGTTATCACTATGCTACATACAAACCCAATCCGAAGGAGATAATTAGCAAATCTTTGGTACCATGCCCTTGGAGCCTGTTTCAGTCCATACAAAGATTTTCGAAGCCGGCACACATAATGAGGAAACCGAGGATCCACAAAACCCGGAGGTTGATGCATGAAGATAGTTTCTTTAAGATCCCCATGAAGAAACGCATTTTTGACATCAAGCTGATGAATAGGCCAATTTCTCCCCATAGCAATGCTTAAAACTGTACGAATAGTCGCCGTTTTTACCACCGGACTAAAAGTCTCATTACAATCAACTCCAACCTGTTGAGACTTGCCATTTACAACAAGTCTCGCCTTGTGTCTCTCCAAGTCACCATTTTCCCTGTATTTGTGCTTAAATAACCACATGCATCGAATAATGTTTACCCCCTCCGGTCTTGGAACAAGTTCCCAAGTTTGCTGTTTTACAAGAGCATTATATTCCTCATTCATGGCGGCATTCCAATTCGGATCAAGTTTGGCTAATTTGGGATTTTTAGGAATAGAGGAAATAGCTTGAGCCGAGCAATTGTCTTTCGGATTAGGCTTAAAAATCCCATTCTTAGCACGAGTAGACATAGAATGTGTTTGAATAGGAATTGGGCTTGTTTGAGGAGTTTGGACATCATTTGTGGGAATTGATCCAAATTGGATTATAGGAGAATTGGGGGAAGTAGGCGAACTGGGTTGTTGGGGTGTGGCCTGATGGGCCGAGCCGCAACCCAACTGATTGGAGTGTAAGGGCGAGATTTGTGGGGAAGTAGGTGGGTTTTGTTGTGGTGAATGTGGGCCGGCAGTGGTGGGCTGACCTGCTGGGCCTAGGTGAACTTGGATTAGAAGAGGCGCTGAAATGGGAGGTATTTGGGATTCTAAAAATCCGTAATCTGATTCACGAAACTTAGAGAGGTTAGAGAAGGGGAAAATGTCCTCTACAAAGGTGACATGTCGGGAAATGGTGATTTTGTTAGATGATAAATCATATCATAGATAACCTCGATGGTTGGAAGGGAACCCCAAAAAAACACATGGTTTTGAGCGAGGAGCTATTTTATGAGGAGCGGTGGCACTCAAGTTTGGGTAGCAAAGACATCCAAAAATACAAAGATGGTCGTATGTGGGCAACCTACGATATAAAACTTCGGTTGGTGTTTTGTTTTGGATGGTCTTTGAAGGTAGAATATTAAGAATATAAGCAACCATATGGAGTGCATAAACCCAAAAAGGAGGAGGAAGAGAAGCATGAAAGAGTATTGTGCGGGACATTGTTGATAGTGCGGATTATTCTTTCGGCTTTTTCCATTTTGGGAAGAAGTGTTAGGGAAAGAAAGTCGAAAGACCATGCCATTTTTCTCACAAAAGGTAAGAAAGGGAGAATTATCGAATTCCCGACCATTGTCACTTTGGAAGGTTTTAATGTCCCTTTCAAATTGGGTCTTCAAAAAAGTACGGAAATTCAAGAAAATGTCATAGACTTGGGATTTGAATTTTAAAGGAAAAATCCAAAGAAAATGAGAGAAGTCATCAAGGAACACCAAATAATATTTATGACCCAATTTGCTAGTAATAGAAGAAGTCCATAAGTCCGCATGAATTATATCAAAAGGGGAAAACGTTACAGAAGTAGACGACTTGAAGGGGAGTCGTACATGTTTTCCTAGAGGACAAGAATAGAAAAAAGGAGTACTAGAATGCTTATTACAATTTATAAAATTGTTTTTCCTAAGATAATCAAAAACTAGTGCGCCGGGATGTCCAAGTCTATGATGCCAAGTTGAAGGAGATATTGCAGCTAGAGAGAGTTGACTATTGGAAGCGGAAGTAGTGGATAGAGGATAGAGGTCCCCCACACTATTGCATCTCGCTAGAATTGTCCCCGAATGAAGGTCCTTCACACAAAAACCGAGAGGGTCAAATTCAACAGAAACAGAATTATCACAAGTGAATTTTCTCACAGAAATAAGGTTTTTAATAAAGCTAGGAACATATAGGACATTTTTGAGATTGAAAGAGGAGTTAGGTGGGGGAGTGGTGGTGGATCCATAGCCATGAATTGGAATGCGGTTTCCATTACCGACCAAATATATTGAGGAATTCTCAAATTAAACAATTTAGAAAAATTACCCAAATCACGAGTCATATGAGAAGTGGCCCCCGTGTCCATGTACCAACCGTTGTCGGGAGTTTGGAAGCTCATGGAGCTATAGGCTTGACCAAATTCAGTGGGAGTCATGAGAGGACCACATCCGGATTGAGTTGGGCTAGCAAAGTAGGCTTGGTTCTGATTTGGTCTTGGGCCTAAAATAGATGGTTGGGGCTACCCTCTAAATTGCTGCATTGGGCCTGTAGGGAATGGGCAAGGGGAGAGGCCCACTGGCCTGGTTGGTGTTGCTGCCAAATGGGCTGCCACCCATCGAGGAGCCTGTTGGGCCCCAAATTGTGGGCCGTTGGACTGTTGCTGTTGTGAGGGGTTCGAATTACGCCCCCTTCCACGCCCCTTCCCATTCTTGATTTGTCCTCTGCCACGACCCCTCCCCCCATGTCCTGTCCCACCACGGTGGTTGTCGGACTGCTGCTGTGGAGGAGGCGGCGGTGGTTGTTGAGCAATGAGGGCTTGTTGACCATGCTCATCTTGCTTTGACTTTCGTGTTTCCTCTAGCAAGAACATAGAACGAGCCTTGCTAAAGCTTGGGGTTGGTTCGGTTTGGGAAATAAGAGCAGCAACCGTGTCATACTCCCCTTTTGGCAAACCAGAGATCATTTGGAGAACCATCTTTCTATCGGAGACCGGGTTGTCGACGTTGCTTAATTGATCGGCAAGAAGCTTGATCTCTTTGCAATAATCTGCCATATTAGCAAAATTCTCAAGTCGAGTGTTGTTGAATTTCTCCTCCAAATACACGGCCCTAGTGTGCTTGTTGTCATGGAAAACTTCTTCAAGTCGATTCCATAATTCAAGAACGGTTGCACCTTGCTTCATGATGGTGTGAACAAGGTCTTTGGAAATAGTACTATAAATCCAACCTTTCACAATTGCATCTAACCTTGTCCATGTCGCATCATCAATATCCGTTGGTCGAGAAACGGAGGCATCAATATGGTCAAGAACATTGTACGCACAGGCTTGAATATGAAAGAGCTCAACCCATGTGGCGTATTGCCCTTCTTCTTGATCAAGGGTGATGCTAATCAGATTTTTGATGTTGTTGACGGCATAGGCGGGTTGGAAGGTGTTAGAGGGAGGTGGAGGAGTTGCATCATCGCCGGCCATCGATGATGGAAGGAGAGATGATGGCTGTTAGAATGCTACGGTAGGCTAAGGGTCGAGAGAGGGATGAAGAGTCACCCGTAGGCAACTGATACCATGTAAGATAGTGAAGTTGTGTAATTCTCCTTAGAGATTGCATTCTCATTGCCAGATTATATAGGTCCAATATTACAACCTAATTATGAGAGAATACATAAAGCTACACAATAATAATTACAAGAATACAAAGGGATGAAGGAATATTAAGCATATTCACTAAACAGAGTATTTTCTTTTATTCAACATCAGGTTAATGGAACAACACAAATGGCAACACTTATTTTTACGGAGTAACAAGCAGACAACTAAAATCTTGCACATCTTTCTCCCAATATGTAATAATGACGATTCTTGAGAATGAAACATATAAAATAAAATAGATTAAGGGATAGAGTCGTAAAGAGACTAGCATTAGCAGAATCCCTTTTCAAGGCATCATGATTAGCTTGGACAATACTCCGTATTTTTGTTTCAGGCTTGGACAAAGTAGTTTTTCTCTCGAGTAGTGAGATCTCTAAACACAAATAAATGAAAATTTGAGGATCAAGTTCCTCCATGTTTCTCAGGAGGAGCACTCCTTGTATCTTATCGTCCTTATATCTTATCGTGTTAAAAAAAATACCCATACAAATAAATAAATTGACACATGTTGATGCATTATTTAAAAAAAAAAATAAAAAAATATTGCTATCTTTATTAACGAATCTTTATAACACCTATTTTTTAAAGTACTTCATATATACTTAGGACTTGTTTGGTTGACAAACAAATTCATGGGAATTTAGAATTCCTAGGAAATGAATATATGCACACTTGTTTGGTTACCAATAATGTAGGAATTGGAACTTCTTAGGAAGTTCTACTTTCCACAAAATTGAGGAATTCACTTACCAAGTCCCCCCTAGGTAAGTGGAACTTCCCATGGGAAGTAGAAATTCCTACATCCAACCAAACAAGTTTTGGGAATTCCTAGGAATTATAACTTCATAAGAATTGAGATTTCATGAAAAATTCTACTTCCTACATCCAACCAAACAAGGCCCTATACTCCGTATTTTGTAAAGTTATACATGCAATATAATTCATCCATCATTTCCTTACGAGTTAGGACATGTGACTACGTGAGTACCAAAATATTACCTACTTCAAAAAAAGAACTTTTTTTTTTTTAACTTAACGTAATGACTTACGACTTAACGTCTTATTGCTAGTTTTGACCTTAAGGATAAATATCATGAAGAACAGAAGAAGTCTATTAATTACGGAGTGTAATTAAAATGAATAAATTACCTACACTTGAAATAATAAAAAATTAATGTCACAGTTATAAAAGAATTGATAGGTGAGGGCCCTGGCCCTGGCCCCTGACGGGTAATTAATATCCTTAAATAGTAATAAAATAAAATTAAAAAAAAAAAAGGGGAGGTGAGGGGAAGGTCAGCAGAAAATTCGAAGTAAAGTAGCCATAAATAAATCATTTACTTCGAATATAGGATAAATTTTTTTTCAAAAAAAAAAAGTAGTAAATGATTTTTTCATGCATTTTCCCACTTTAATTTAGGCCCTGTTTGGTTTGATGTAAAAGGTTTTCATGGAAAATAAATTTTTTATTTTTTTCCATTTTCTTTTGTTTGGTTTGTTAAGGAGTGGAAAACAATTTTTCAAGGGTGGAAAATTCCATTCTTAATGATGGAAAACATTTTTTTTTTCAAAAAACAAGGGAAGCCACATTTTCATTTTTCCTCCTTACCTTTTTTTTTTTTACTTCTCTCTCATTTATCCTTACATTTCCACTCTTATTTTATATTTTTCTTTGACTTTTCTTGTATGCAACCAAACAAAGGAAAACTAATTTGCAATTGTGTTTTTCTTTGAAAATATGTTTTCCATGAAAACTAATTTTCCATTGAAAATGTTTTACATTAAACCAAACGGGCCTTAAAGGATTTTAAATTTCAATGAGTATATAAAGGTAGTTGGTAGTACTGTTTCTTGATAATTTCTTTTCTTTTGTTTGTAATCTTGTTTATGGCGGTCTGTCTTTGATTAATGAGTAAGTCCCCCTTTGTGGGTTGTTTCAAGAAAAAAAAAAAAAAGGGAGAGTATGATCCTATGGAGTGATCACATGATGCCTTGATGTACGCCTTGGAAGTTGGGATCGCTATGCTCATGATTATAATTCTGTATGAGTCCAGTAGGTATTTTATACGAGGCTGACTCCAACCAGATTCAATGTTTTTAATAATCATAGGTCCACTATTGGACACAACGAAGACCACAGGTTCCGACCAAATGCTGTTTTCTTTCTTTGTCCTCTCTCCGTATCTTATTTTTTGCACCATTAACTAATACTTTTTCCATTTTTTTTTATACATGTAATATACACTTTATCACGATATTTAAGAAAAGTAGACCTCACATAAAAATAATACGCTTAAAATGAGGTTAATATTTAATAGGTTGATAAAAGTAAAATCAAGTAGATCATGTGCTTTTTATAAAGGTACTCCGTAAAAGTAAAATTTCCACCCTAAAACCTTCCTTTAATGGTGTGTTGTAATTATTGTAATATTTTCATTTTAGGGAAGTGAAACAAAGAAAGTATATTTTATACAATAATTTTTAATTGATAAAATATAATGTGAGAGAAAAGTGGTAATGAGAGTAAAGGCATGGTCCGGTCCTACATGTCTAAAAATAAAATAGGGCAAAATTAAAGAAACGAACTAAAATGATAAGTAGGGCAAAAAAATACTACGGAGTACTTGTTTTTCTAGTTGACTCGTTTTGACTTTAACATTATTCACACACTTCCCTTTAACCATATTTTGTGACGTAATAAAAATATAATCACGTGGGATTTTGTTAGATTCGTCACAATATGTATTTTCAAAACATCAAATTTTCATAATTTTTGCTTGTCGATAATTAAAGATATTAGATTGAATTTGTACATTGACAAACGTGACTAAAAAAGCGTGTCAACTAAGAAACGGAAAAATAATAACTATTTAAGTATAAATTGATTAAAATACGTTTTCAACATTACCTCTTGAAACATTATTCTCCGTAACATTTTATTAGTATCTTTTAAAGGTACGATTAAGGATCTTATTGAACCCCATTATCTTTAAGGGGCGCTTGGAATGGGGGTAATAAATTAAGGGGATAATAAAAGTCAAACGAGATATTATATTTGATTAGAGGTACAGAGTATTATTGTAGGGAGATAAGGTGTTTTTGAATGAATAAAAGTTGTAGTGACATAAGGAAAAGAGAGGAGGGGAGGAATTATTAAGGGTAATAGTTCCCTTTCTTCACCTAACACCACACCATCACTATATAAATTTTCTTACAATCACATCATCACTAGCTCTCCCTCTCCTATGTTTATTTTAATTTTGTTTGGTTTGATTTTTATTACCCCTTAATTTAATACTTCCAATCCAAGCACGCCCTTAAATGGTTAGATCAACTCAGCTCTGCAAGTCAACGCTTAAGAGTAGAGGGGAAAAGTAAGAGAATCTCTACTCTCAAACAAATGTAGTTGATGAGGCTCGAACTTATGACCTCAAAAATTCAGACCCCAAAATCACAAAATGAGTTCCCAACCAACCTTCATCAAACTTTGCTTGGTAACATTTTATTTGTATTGGCTTAGCTATAACACTACTTCCATTACATACAACTGGCATTATATAGAGTACATTGCCTTTCTCTTTCTATATCTATTATCTAACCTAAAACAACCAATATAAATTTCACCAACAATTTATTTTAAATTGGGATTCAAAATTAAAGCGAGGAGTTTTTGGAAAGAAAAAATAAAATTGCTCCGTAAAATAAAACAAGAAATACTATAGACAAGAGGGGATAGACAGCGCAACAAATAAGAGTGTGGGTATATCAGTATGTGTGTCACACCAATAAGGCAAAAATCAGGTGAGATAACATAGAGCACAGCATACGATTGCATTTGAAGAAGAGATGGAAAAGTTTGGCAGGAAGAATCAGTATGACTTCTAAGGTATAAAATTGTCTCTTCCAACTAACCATCACTAATGAGGGAAGGAAGGGAGACATCTTTATTTGATTCAATTTTTTTAAAAAATAAAAAATTACAATTGTTTTTTAAAAGCTACCATCAGTCCATCAGCAAGCAGTATGTCACCTAGCAATTGACAATGACAATTTTCATTGGCCCACTCTTTTGTACCTCTATATTTTTATTTTTATTTTTGACAAATTTTGTACCTCTATATTTATTTAGCCCTTTACCATTTTAATCATCAAACCTCACTTTACTTTTTTATCTTATATGCGTGTCATTTTAATAAAATCATACCAAGACTAGAAATGTCATTCTCCTATGTTTATTTTTAGACTACTATTTTGCTACACAATTACACTACTCACTCCGTACTTAATTTAAGCATTACACGCAACTTATCCACTTGAATGAAAATACACATTAACGTTAGGTCGTTAGTTTTCCACTGGTCATAATTAAACACTACATCCCAGAATCCATGAACATAAAACTTTTAAACTTGTCAAAGGGTGCAAAGTATTTGTAAAGAAGAAGACCAGGGATTGCACACTAAGTGATCTAAACCATAGAATAATGTGAATCGTAATACCTTGGATCAACATTTAACAACCATAGAAAGCATACAAAGCTACAATGACAGTGTTCAAGTAGCAGGCAAAGTGTAAAACTAAAAATTTACCATATTCAAATTGCATGAAAGAGGTACCTAATGAATCGGTGCAATCTTGAAGTAAATGGTCATAAAATAGTTCCGGTGTGTATAACGGGATCACGAACTGCATCTGCTTCTTTGGGTCATTTGTATAGCTGCCAAGTTATACTTGTTACAGGAATTACATGATCAATAGCGATATTATAGGCTTACATAATAAGGGGATGTGTTTAATGCTGTAACACAAGTAATGGAATGCCA